GTCAGGCAGCTAGACATTACATCCTCTATTATTCTTCCCTATTGCCAAACTCTTACCTGCATTTTCAGAAACTGATCTCCACATAGTGTCAATCTGTTCATAACTGACCACAAACATAGAGTATGTAGAGTGACTCTCTGAGGGAACATTTTCCAGATCTGGCACCCAAAATAATGGAAGTAAGGTAATATATTTGCAGGAGGGAGACTGCTGGGACTATGGGGAGTTGTATAAAAGATATAACCCTCTGTAAGTTATATCAAAGTAGTTCTGAGGTAGGCTAGATAGGTGTAGGGCAGAAAGAAGCAGACTGCATGATTGCAGAGCTGTATTATAGCAGGACTTCATGCGACTGCTCTAACAATAAGAAACAAGACCACTCAGCATAACCTGGGACCAACATGGTAGACTGAGACAACCACTAACTTTCCTTTGCTTCATTATAATGAAATCTCCATATCACTAGCCTTGCAAATTTGCCTGCTCCCATCAATCATCTGATACTATGACATATCTAAAAACCCCATTTCAGGACAGAAAAGAGGACTAAACCCCATTCCAGGAAAGCCCAATTTCCATTCCTAGAATTTCCTGATTTTTTCCCCATCTCAATTAATAAATAATCATCCCCTCCATTAAAGTTTGCCCATAAGACTATCCAAAGGGCTAGAATGTGGCTCAAGTACTAGAGTGCCTGCCTAGCAAGAGCAAGGTTCTGAGTTCAATCCCCAGAACCACACACACATATACACACACAAAAAAAAGTCTCTATGCAGAATCTTGAGCTGTGCACTTTCTATTGAGAAGCCTGCACTCAACCCTTGAGTGTGCACTTTCACCCTGTAATAAAACTTCTTCCCAATTCCTTACTTTTGTCTTATCTGAATTCTTTCTTTGATGCTGACAAGAACCTGGAAACGCAGGGTAAAGGTCTTACTCAGTCTGCTCTCTTTATCTCTAGTACCTCCCCAGCCTTTACTACCAGCAATAGTTTGGTAGCAGTAATCCTTTGGGCTTCCCAATCTTGGCACGGTCATTAATAGGAAGGAGAATGGTTGGCACAAATTCTGTACCAAAGAATATCTGGAGACCACGTGAATGCTTATAAAATGGGAGAAACTGAGTTAAATCACTGTGGATGTAAGATTCAGAATAATATATGAACACCTGAAATAAAACCTCAAATGAAAGGAATTGTTTGTGCCACATAATTAATCAATAGAGGTTTTCACAGAACAATTACAAGCATTATAGCTATCAAATGAAAGAATATTTTTTCATGTCACTAGGTGCAAACTTAATATAATTTAAATATGGATCACCACACAAAACCAAATTAAAAATTAAAGGTGGCCTACAGTAAAGAGTTGTAAAATCAAATATATAAAGGTAGTAAATACTCATTTTCTGAAGTACTGTAGATGCAGGTCAGGACATTGTTTATGAAGAACAAAGGTGACATGTAAGAAGTTAAAAAATAAAACTGACAAGAAAGGGTGAGTCCTACTCAGCCTGTAGAAGAGAAAGCAGTGATTCAATATTGTTTTAAAAATTCATAACAGATGCATACAGAGGTGCTAACCAGTAGTTTGTATGCATTACAACTTACTCGTTCACTATTTACTAAGTATTGGCTTCATCAAACATGCATATAGGCTTTAACCATTTAAAACCCACTTCCACAAACTTTATTTACTTTATATACTCTCCACAGTAACTAAAATAGATAATAGCAGTTAGTATGACTTCACAGATGACAAAAACTGAGGCTCAAAAATAATTATAGTCATACATCCCCTAATGGTGGGGATTCATTCTAGGAAATGTACTGTTATGTGAATATCATAGAGTGTACTTAAACTAAGAGTGCTATGTTGTCACTAGGCAATATAATCTTATGGGTCACTATTGTATATGCGTTCCATTATTGACCAAAACATCATTACGCAGTACATGGTTACAGTCCAAAATGACATCACCAGGATGATTTAGCTAGTTGAGACCCACCAGGAGACTCATACAAAACAAGTAATAATTCCAGAGAGCATTTTAAAGGTCTAATTATACATGCAATGTTCTCTCTCTCTCTCTCTCTCTCTCTACCTCTCTCTTCCCCTCCCCCGTCTCTTCTACAGAATTGCAGAATGTCCCTGTGTGTTCACACCCAGGGACATAAAACTCCTAGAACACTTGGGAGTGTTCTAGACTTTGAATTCAGGAGCTCAGAACTTCCCATGTCTACCTAAGGGAAGTGGAACTACCTTCAGGCAGCTCCCCACCATGCCCCACAATACAAAAAGGAAAAAGAAACCATCAACCATCCTTACATGGTCCCAATAAAGCTGACCCTTGCTGGGTTGGGTACAACCATCTGCTGGGCACTCATTAGAAGGGTTTATGATTGTAAATATATATCTTTAGCAGCTCAGAAGAATTTCTCAAAGACCTGAGAGACATCAAAAAGCCAAGAGTACAGTCTCCAAGATTCCACAAGGGACAGAATCCTAGCTTTGGTAATTAATCATCATTACAAGCACAACTGGCTAGTCTCATTCACACAAACCAACTCTTTGTACTTTTTATTTCTTTGACTTTGAGCACCCATGCTCCAGTTAGTTACTTGCTCTTGGTAGTTTTAAAAATCACTAATTGTGGAAGTCACACAGCTGAGCTCTATCTTGGCTCTCACTAGCTCTGCTATAGATAACACCTCTGACATGTTTGTGATAACTGTTGCCTAGGTTATTTTTCAAGGACTTGAAGGCCATCTTGTCCAAAACAATGACTTCTGATGTAGACAGCCAAAAAACACTTGTATTTTCACCACCAATAACCTTTCCCTACTCTTTAAGTCATCCTGCTTCTTGATCTCATTAATATTCCCAAGCCCTCTCCTCAGGAATGCAAATTAGAGACTTGGATCTTCCACCTCCACACTTGGCTGCCTTGTGAATAAACTCTTTGCAAAACTCATTGTTTCTGTAATCTTTATTCTGTGTGATGGGCAAAACAGGCATGGTTCACTACAACCACCCCAGACAACATTCTCCCACTGGCTGCTTCTTTCATGGGAACATTTAAACTTGATAAAGTCACTACTGGGCAAGGGGGTTTATGTGTCTGTGCTTCACACTATTTTGTTGGCTCTAACATTCCAGTCTTCACCCTTTATTACTCTTTTCAACTAAATGCTTCATGTGTATTCTGGGCAGCTATTTCATGCATTTTTATAGTCACCATCTGCTCTTAAGGAACTATTTATCCTTTGTTTTAGCTCCGAAAAAGGTTAAAGCATTCTACTGAATATCGAGAATGTTTCCTGTACCTAGAATAAATGTTAATTATTCAATATTCTCCTTGCAAGGTATTACACATCAGCATCAGCCATTTCTCTTCCGTTCAATGAACTCAAATAATTACACCAATTCTCTGAGTAGTTATTATCCAAAACAAAGGAAACAGAGAAAGGCCATGTTTACTTACGGCAACAGTCTGCTACTGCTGCTATAACAAATTACCACCAAATTAAGAGCTTCAAACAAGACAAATTTATGATTATACAGTCTCAAGGTCAATAATTTATTGTATATTGCAGAACAGCTCCAGAAAGAATTTTAAATGTCCCCAACACAAAGAAATGATAAATGTTTGACATGATGGATATACTATTGCCCTATTGATCATTACATATTGTGTGTATATATATATATATACATATATATATATATCCAAATATCACATCATACCCAATAAATATGTATAATTATCATGTGTTCATTGAAAATAATAATCAAAAAATGTGACAACTGTGAGAATTATTCACTTTCTTTATGATATGATAGCACATATCTCTATGTAGGCAAACCAGAAAAGGTATGCCAGTGTACTACAAGATTTATGTGTCTTACTAGACATTAAAGACCTGTAACATTCCAGAAATGGATTGACAAGCTCTTTGCTTTATACTCTCTAAGTCTACATAAAATTATAATATGATTTATAATAAGATAATAGAAAATATATCTTTTTAAGAAAAAATAAGTATTAACTTACAAGTGAGAGTACATTGAGTAAAAATATTATAATTTAGTAATAAGTTGCAAAACAATTTTACTTGTCAATTCAATACTTCATTAAGTATTTCAGATTAGCATATCCAAATGGTCTTAAAAATCAATGCATTTGTCATCTATCTTTCACCACTCTTTCTCAACCCATTAACTTCTGCTTTATCAAAACATACATTCTCCAATTAACCTGAAGCTTGCCATGATTCACACAAAGAAAAAACTGCCCAGCTTTTCTAAAAAAAAAAATATACCCTTTCCAATTTACAAGTATTCAGTTTATTATCCTAGCAAGCACACTGTTATTTGGAAATCAACCAGTTGAAGTATTTTACAGCGATACTGAATTCTCAACTGACCAATTTTCAAATGGTCAGTTAAAACAAAATTGGAGAAACAAAACAGAACATTACATTGAAAAGTTAAAGAGACCTGGGTACTAGAACTGGTGCCCCCAGCACGCACCATAACCTTGAGCAGTATATAGATATCCCATAAAATCTTTCCACCCTTCCTTCTTTGTCAAAGACATAAAAAGGCTATAGTAACTCTGATCCTACCTGATTTACAGAAGGATTATTGAAGGATAGACTAAGAAAATACATGTAAAAATCTTGTATAAACTGCCAAGTATTAAGCTACATAAATTTAAGGAAGTATTATTGCTACTAAACTCCCAACTTGCTTCATATAAACATGTGACTGAATACCAGGAAAAAGTGCAGAACAAGTAGAACAGGCATCTTGGATTACAGCTTGGGAGAAAGCCTGTGGATCCATTTATCAAACACCTAACCTATATTGAGTACTTATCATCTATCATGCCAGATATGAGACACAGGATTTAAAGAATGCAGTTATGCTCATTATTTATATGAAGTATTTAAATCTGGGCTTGCTGATTTTCTCAAATAGGAAATGCAGCTTTGTTACCTTAATGAGGTCTTCCCTGGAGGAAAACTTAGAGACCAAGTAATTTTCTCTGGTTTTGGTGTTAGTGATGGATATGTGCAGTCGATTCTGGGCCAGCTCATGTGCGTTGAATGGAAGAATTGACTCTATTCCACTTCTAGAGAAGAAAGAACAGGGCAAGACATATTATTTGCCTTTAATTATTGAGCGCTTTGTAACTATTTTAGCTAAGCTTGCCACAGCCTATACTGAAAGTTGCCAAATTTCTGTCTTCATATACTTTGGATGGAAAAGCAACTATACAAACACCCACCTCAATCTGGCCATAAAGTCATAACCAGGTGTAACTGCCCCCAAAGACTGCCTTCGAGTTTCTTCAGCAAACTTGTAGGTAAACTGGTTACATTCCTGAAAAAGAAAATTAGCAATTGACCCTATGTGTGTCCAAAAGAAATTCATCACAACTCAAAAACTGTGCTGATTAAATGATGCCCAACTCCTGACATAGGTTTTGACATGCCACTGGGCTTTCTCCTCACCAACACTTCTTAATCGCTAGACAAATTGCATTCTCACAATTCATATCTCTTTCTTTCCTTCCTTCCTTCCTTTCTTTACCAACTCAAATGGCCTTAGTCCACAAATAAAAAAGTCTGGAAGACCTGACTCAAATTCTACTTTAGCACATTCTCTACAGATTGCCATAACACAATGAACCTATTCACCACCCTATCCTGTGGCCTCAGAAGCTATTCTGATTGTAACCCTGAAGGGCCATGATGACTTATGACAACAGCAATAGAAGAGGAGTGGGAGGACTATGGTTTACAAAGGACTAAGATCAAAGTCTTTGGAGACACATCTTAAGCACTGGTATTGTGTACACATGCCCCACCAGCATCCATGTGCACCACAGAATGGTTCTGTCTTTTACAAATCAGAAGGTCTCTGAAGAAGTCACATGTATATTAAAGACCCTACAGACTGCTTGACCTTCTCTGAGAATATTGTGATTAGAGAGATGGAATGCTGGGATAGAGTTAAAGTGATCTTGGGCTTTTTTAGGCCTTTTCAGAAGCAAAGTTTATGAATCAGTTACCTTAACTTTTTGTATCTGACCTAACATTCTTAGGACTATTAGATTAACTTCTTCAATGTATTGCTAAACTTAGCAGACCTCTAGCCTTCATCAACTCTAAAGATAAGAATGTATCAGATAAAATCTGAAACCTATAGAAAAGATGTCCCCACTTTGCTATAGCTAGGCTACCTAATGCTCCCACCAATATATTTGGAAAATATATTGATCTATGCCCTTTGTTCTGTGGCTATAAAAATTCATGCAAATTTCTTTGTGGTGCAACATGCTATTCAGGGTAATTTGTATTTGTGTTCCTGGGCCATGGTCACTCATATTTAGCTATTTTCTTCTTTCCTTAAAGAAGAACTATTATTTTATGCTGATACTTTCACTTATTATTTGATTAATTCAGTAATCTACTGGGCACCAGGCAGTGGGCTAAACACAGATTTGGTAAACTTCTGTTTTGTGGAGTGCTGGGGGTAAAGCTCAGGGTCGTGTACATGCTAGGCATGTGCTCTACCACTAAGCTACACACCCAGCTTCTAAGGTTCAGTAGAAAACAAGATATAAAGAAGCCTACCTCATGAGATTCATGAGTGCCTCCAAGGGTAGATAAGAGTGCTATAAGAGCCCCCATGGGAATGTGACAGGCAGAATCCAGGCCTTTCTCTTTTCCCCAAGAAGTCAATGTTCTTGCTCCTGAACCCTGAGGATATGGTGTGTTGCACAGCAGACTTTGCAGACTTAATACAGTTAATGAACTTGAGATGGACTTATTGTCCTAGATTATTTTGGTGGGCTCAATGTCATCACAAGGGTCCTTATAAGGTGCTGTAGTTTGAAGGTTAAATGTTCCCCAAAGGTCCATGTTTTGAAGGCTTGGACCTTAGGGTGGCACTATTGGGAGATACTGTGGACCTTGAGGAGGTGGGTGCTACTGAGAAGTCTTAAATCACTGAGAGTGTGTCTTTGAAATAGATTATGGGACCTCAGCCCCTTCTTCTTCCTCTCTTTTGCTTCTTGTCCATGAACTGAGCAGTTTTCTCTACCATATGATCCTTGTCATTGCCACCTGGTATCCCCATCAGAGGCCCTAAGCAAGGGCTTTATTTCATCTTAAACTGGAAGCTCCAACTTCATAAGTGAAAATAAACATTTTCTCTTTATATCTCAGGTATTTTGTAGTAATAACACAAAGCTGAGGAACACACAAGGAAAGAGGGAGTCAGGAAGGTCAGTGTTAAGGAGATTTAATGAGGTCACACTCTGACTTTAGAGATAGAGGAAAGAGCCAGAAACCAAGGAATGTGGGCAGCATTCTGAAGTGGGAAAATGCAAGGATGGGGCCGCAGAAGGGAGTGAGTATGGCCCTACTGAAAGTTTGATGAGTCCCATGATTCTGTGTCAAACTTATGATCTTAGAACAATAAGAATCAATTCCTATTGCTTTAAGTCACCAAGTTGATACCTATGTGTTACAGCAGCAATAGGAAACAAATAAAATGGGCATCTGTCTCCAACTTCAGGGATTGTCAAAGGCTTCCCTACAATTTGACATCTGTGCACTTCTGGGTAAAGGAGGGAGGAAATAGCAATAGGAGTTGAACAGGGGACAATAATATAGGAGGATGATAATAAAGACAACAGCAAAAACAGCTCAAAGAACACCACGGAGCCGTCTTGAATAATCACTGCAAGCCACAAGAACAATTCCGATACATTGGACCTCATGGGGCATGCTAAGAAATCTGGACCAAATCCTAGGTCCAAAAGGAACTCTGTGAGTGAGTGTGTGTTTGTGTGTGTGTGTGTGTGTGTGTGTGTGTGTGTGAGAGAGAGAGAGAGAGAGAGAGAGAGAGAGAGAGAGAGAGGGAGAGGGAGAGGGAGAGGGAGAGGGAGAGGGAGAGGGAGAGAGAGAATGAGAACCAGATTTGCATTTGGGTAAAATTACATAGTATGAAATATGTGGACTTGAGGCCCATTCCTCAAGAAGCATCTAGGTAAGAAATGGGACAGCCCCTCTCAAATGCATACTTTTCTATTAAGCTGGACTACCCACTGAGCCCACTTCCTTCTGTTAATTTCAGTTACACACATGCATCCCTGACCAGCCTGCAAACTTACTAAGAAGAGGACTTCCTCATCTTTGGGTTCCCCAGAGTGCTTCTTTGCAAAATGTGAGTGCTGGGGAAATGCTTTGCAGCATTGAGCTCTTACATATCAATGTTTAAATTTGCCTATCACCTAAAATACACCCAGCATCAGGTGCTCCTCTTAATTATACATGAATAAATTCGGAACAACATTAATTACTCACATATTTGTCACAACAGTGAAAAGCTCCAGGAACTTACACCAATTGCAGAGAACTGAGCTAACATGCATTTGGGAAGGTCGAAAAGAGTTTGCCAAAAAAACTCAAAGCAATCCTACAAATGGATTATTTCAAATGCTAAAAAGAAGAGAAGTAAAATAACCTTACATCAAAAGGTTACTGTGATTGAAATAAATTTACTTTGAAAGGGGAGGAAAGAGGAGGCCTTGGGTCAGTAAGAGAATCACTTTTCTTCCTTTCAATATGTGCATCCCATAGACTTAACCTTTATATCATATGAACACAATTAGACAATACAACTGAGCCTCCAATTTTTTGAAAATAAAAATATTAACAGGTAATATGACTTGAAAACATGATACTATCAAATCTCAAGTTCAGGTAAATCATGCAATGTCTTAATAATTTTTCAATTATTAAGGATTTCAATAAAGTAAGTTGCTGTATTATTGTGGTACTTCTAAATCACAAGAAGAATAAATCACACTTAATACATTTCTCAGTTTGCTGCAGATTGGAAGCCAAGTCTATTCATCTCCAAATCTCAAAATATGCCCCACCTACAGAAAAGTCTACATTGAAAAGGAGGAAATAACCCAGCAGCCTGCTGCTTCAAAAAGGGAACAAAGTTCTGGGAAGGGGCTAGCTTGCAATTCAAAGCAAAGGATTCTGTCAGCTTGGAAGGAGTTTTCACAACTTATGATATTCCTCCGGACTTAAGGTTCTCACTCTGTGTAATCTCTATAGTTTTTAATCACTATTTTAGTTCCTGTAAATCAACCATCTAAAAATGAAAAGTGAATTTCTGAAAAATTATCCTTAAATCCAGTTTCCTTTATATAACCTAGCTCACAAACAGATTTGAGGAGATTTTGTTATGTAAAATTTTGCAATTTTAAAATTCATTCCTGAGCATCAATGTGTTAAAACATTATTTCATTATTGTCCCAAGGAAATATTTTCTCCAACCACAGAAACCAGTTATCAGAGTCAGCAAATGTTTGATCACAGTCTAAATAGTAAAAAACAGACTTTTAAAACATAGGTTGTATTAATGAAAATACCAAATGAAGACTACTTTTTATTGCTTTTGGTGAGACTGCATGGAATTCAGAGCTTATCATTGTGAGGATTAAAAACAAATTGACATTTCACTTAATTGAAATTGTATGAACAATTTCATTTTTTATGTCTGTTTGACAGTAGCATTGAGCAGAGAGGTCCAGGCTACATGTCTGAGGCCTTGAAAACAGGCTCTTTAGCTCTTTTCATGATCATGGAAGGAAAAATATCCTTTGCTTAAAATAAACAGAGCTGAAATTTTAAGGCTAGAAATTCAAGAGTAAAATAAAGTCTTTTATTTCCTTGTCTTACTGTCACCCCAAAATAATATTCTTTTCCAAACCCAGAACTCAGATGTCCCTAAAGAGTCAATTTTAAAAGAAACGTCTTATCCTTTTGTTTTCCAGGCAAAGCATCATCTCTACGGAGTTCACTTAGTATACACTCATTTTTGCCATTCTGTTTTAATTTTTTGATGAGGAACACGGCCTCGTTATGACTTAATTACCTCTATTTTTTCTGGTGCTGTTAGCAGAACTGAAGCAACCAAGGATCCAGCAGATGCGCCAGCAAAGGCCTTGACATCCTTCAACAGCTTTTTGCCATGTCTGCAAAGTGCAGATGCTGCCCCCAAGTGGTAAATGCCCAGAAACCCACAGGCTGCAAAGGACAAATTGATGTGCTTCATTCTTGCTGCTGAACTGACAATGATACAAAAAAGAAAAATTCTGTAAGCTCTTATTGTTTATTCCACACACTACAATATTATGCTAATTATCATTCCATTGCTTTCTTTAATATATAATTCTGTTTTAAATACAGCTGTTTTGACTATTCTTATTAAACCCAAGAATATTTAAGGAAACATTTTCTTTTATTTCCTCACCTTGACCCAATAAGGTCTTATTAATGAAAAATATTACAACATTTCTTATTTGTTCAATGCATACAGTATTCAGTCTAATATTTAATTACTTGGCAAGAAACAGATATATAACTTTCAATTGGCAAGGAATTCAATTTTTTTTCTTGACCTTTTCAAACTGTTTTTTGAGGGGGGATTACTCTTGTGGAATGGGTAAATTATTAGAGACCACATCAAATTCCAAATAATACATTTGCTTTCTGTAAGTACATCAGTAAATTTCAAATAGGTCCCTGTTGCCCTCCCTCATTTCCACTGTAAGTATCCTTCTATTTTTAAACACACAATTAATAATGCAGTAAGGTATTATTCAACGAAGCAATGTTGAATTTCATCACTAATTAGCTCAAGAAAAACGGAGGTCATAGCTGGGAAAGGTAATTGAAGGCTTCATGAAATGTCATCCCCACCACTTTACAGTTGCACCTAAGTATCTAAGTATGAAAGTATATGCTTTTCAAAGCCTGAGCAGGCACATTATGATTATATGAATGAAATGAGAAACCGCGCTCCCATAGGCGTTCCTGCCTCCTCTGAGGTTCTTAGGGTTTCCTGGGAGGGGGAAGCAAAGGGAGGGTGGTATTCAGCGACCTTGAGCTAAGGCACAAGGCAGGACCTTGCATTTAGGATCTGTTTGTCCCTGACAACCCAGGCCGGGCCTGTGCAGAAGGTTCTAATACTGCAGGCTAAGCTTCAGTATCAGATCCGAAACTCAATTTTGGATCCATGGCACAGTGGCGGGGTGATTTGGATGGTCACTTTCCAGGTGGTCGGGCCGGCCGGCGGAAACCCAGAGGATCTAGGGTTCACACTCATCTGTCCCACCCCTGTGGCGGCCCACCCAGACCCACCCGCCCCTAGCTCAGCCCTAGTGAACGTTCCTACCAACGCAAGCCGGCTGCATTTCCGCGTTAACAACCCGCCTTCCCCTCTTCCCCGCTTGCCGACCGCCAGCCAGCCTGCCTCAGACTCTTAACTAGAAAGCGGCACCGAGCTGTCACTCAACGCGTATCCACCTATCAGGGCTGGGGCACAGCAGTCGCGCGAACATCCGAAAAGGTCCGGCATAAGACTTGATGCCGCCTCTCCGCGCGATTCTATGACGTCATCGCACAGAGCCGCAGTTCCGCGTGGTCCCGCCTGTTTCATTTAAACCAACAGTCTCAATATGGTGGCTTCTGCTAGGCCATTCGACTGCGGTGTTCTCGAGCGCGGGAAAAAGACAAGTCGTTTTGACCAACATCCATGCTGTCTTCAATACCTAGGGATCCACTTTAATCCCTTGAAGCTTTTAGCGCGACCTGCTGGGCGACCCTCACCTGCGAACCTACTGACCTTTACTGACCTTCATCTGCTGTATTCCGGAAGTGCTTTTCCCTCTGGCGTCAGTTTCCCGGAAGCAGTTTCTCTACCTCCCCGCCCTCGCGGCCTCCAGGAATAGCCAGCTATTCCTTAGGATTGGCCTAGGGCTAGATTCGTCCGGGATACACCGCAATTTTTCAAGGCATATATTTGGTGGGGGGTTCCTAAGCGTTTTGGGAAAGGCCAAAGTATGTCTCTGGACAATTTTCACTTCCTCATTTGACTTTTAAGTTGCGTGGGTATGGACAGATTGTATATGCTCTCGTAGTTTCCTTGGTGACTCATCTGTAGAATGGGATAATAAGATATGAGTTAGCACATAGGTAGTCCCTGCTCTATCCAGTGTCAACAATTAGTCAGACTTGAGAAACTGCTTACTGCTGGCCAAAATGGCTGATATCCCCACCCATATTAAAAAGACCCTGACAATTCTTTCCATACAGTGTCTTCCTTGACTAATCCTCTTAACCAAGGCCAGAGGAATCTCAGACTTTGTGATCAAAGGTCCTCCACATCCTTTGTTTTAAGAACAAATTTCCACTTGCTGACGCTAAAGAGGAGAATCTGGGAGATGTGAGTGCCTTTGCCTTAAGCAAAACAGAAGAGAAAGATGGGGCTCTTCAAATTACCTCTGCCTTAGGCTTTCCCTTCCTTCCCCTCATCCCACTTCTGCCCCGCCCCTTTTCATCTGCACCTCTCGCCCACAACAACTTCTGTAAGCAAGATACCTTGATATGATGAATAAGGAGATACTGTTTTTGATTCACATAAATAATTTTCCAAGACAGCTGATCCTGGAAACACCATAACATCTGTATATCATACACTTCATACCTCAGAATTCTTTACTTTCACCATAACTTAGGTAAGAGAAAGCAAAGCAAATATCAGAAAACACAATAGAACAAACTTCTGTCTCTCAGCTTTCTGTTGTTCTTTAACTTTTTGTGTGAGGTTCATCAGAGTAGCACCTTCTAGAAAGCTTATGAGAAAAGAATCCAGACCTCCAGAGTCAGAATCTCCATTTTAATAGCATCCCCAGATATTGCTATGTATATTTAAGTTTATAAAGCACTGTTCTAACTCCTGCATTGGTGCTGCCATCTGAACATATGCATTCCTCCAAAATTCATATGTCAAAATATTAATACCCAATATGATGGTGTCAGGAAGTGGAGCATTTAAGGGGTAATTAAATCATGAGGGTGGATCTAGCATGAGTGGGATTAGTGCTCTTAGAGAAGAGACTCCTAAGAATTCTCTTTCTACCACATAAGGATACAACTACAAAGAAAAGATGTCAATCTGAAGCCTGGAAATGACTTCATTAGGTCTTCCAGCCTCCTGAATCATGAGAGGTATGTCTGTTATTTCTAAGCTACCCACTGTATGGTTGTAATAGCCCTGAATGGACAAAGACAAGCAAAGCTAAAAGAAATGTGCTAATATGAAAAGTTTGAGGTAGGATTAAAGACACAGAATCAGAATCTGGGTGGTAGATTCTGGCAGAGCAAATATTCCCTGCATTTGGATTCTGTCAGCGGGTTGTTTTAGGAAAATGAAAATGCTATCCCTGTGTAGCCTGGAAGAAGACTACCTGTTTGGAATCTTTTACTTCAAGGAATAATGAGGGCATCTGCTCTTGCCACACTCACCTGCTAGATTGGGATCCCACCAAATGTGTCATTGGAGCACTCAAATGTTGCATTTTTTAAGCTCTTAAAATATTGAACTTACTTCCTTCTTCTTACATGTAACCAGTTAAAAAGTTCAGCTCCCTCATATAAGGAAGAATTTCATAGTCATTTACATTTGTCTTTGTCATATCAGCATCAACCATTGCACTTGGTGCCTAGTATTTCATCAATAAATATTTGTATGTTTGATTTGAGTAAATTAGCATTGTGTTCTGAGTATATTGTAATGCAATTGCCCTTTCAAAACATCCTAAGTAATTAATTTGCTTATTTTTGCTTTTCTACTTTCCTTAATAACTTAGTCATGAGCTAGTTTATTTGTGTAACCACTTGTATGATTAAGCATCTATTGAATAGCAAATGTTGTATTTGTACAGGGCATACAAAGTTGGCAAGAATTCAGCTATTATCTTCTGGAATACAGAGTTCAGCTAGTTGACAGATATGTAATCATGTGGTATTTCAAAACACACAGGTACCCTAGATGTTCACACTGGAATAGACAATAGGAAATCCTTAGCTATTAGAGGCAGCTATCTTAACACCTGGTACATAAACAGAATATCCAACCCTGTAGCTTTTTTCCTGTCCCACGTTTCTTCCCACAAGATTATATGTTATACAGTAGTTCTCCCTTATCCACACTTTCACTTTCTACAGTTCAATTAGATCTAAGTATATGTTAACAACTCGTGTCATTCTGGTTCACCAACTCAATAAGTGTATCAAACCTTTGTCTAGCATATCCATACTCTATACACTACCCATCAATTAATTATGCAGTACCCATCTTCATTACCAAATCAACTGTTGTGGTGTTACAGTGCTTAAGTTCAAGGAACCCTTGTTTTACTTAATAATGTCACAATATCACAAAATTAATGATGTAAACAAGGTACCAGGGGAAAAATATAGAAGGAGGTTTGCTGTTCTTGAAGTAATTTTCTTACAGTGGAGAGGATTAATTGGGGTAAATAACATCAATATAAAATAAGTAGTATTGTTTGATGATACACAGATGGACTGCTTTAGTGCTTTATGCTTCATCAAATTCATGCAAATACTCTTTGTTAACTTGGTGAACAGGATCTCTTCATTACTTGTGCTCTTATCAAAAGAAATAACTTAGATGAAAATACTCAATTATGTAATCATCTCATTTCTAAGAGACAAAATAAGGATTTTAGTCTACAGTCATCCCCAAAATCTAACACATGGTTTAATCAGCCAACCTTCTGTATTTAGGAGATCCACATCCAAACAGTCAACCAACCATGGATTGGTGCTATGTGGCCATGCTATGAGGCATATAGGAAAAATTGCATGGTGTATGTAAGGTTCAATACTGTCCATGGTTCCATGGTTTCAGACATTCACTAGGTTCTTGGAGCATATACCCTAAGAAAAGGAGGACTACTGTGTTCCCATAAGAAAGGAGAAAGTAAATATGTAAGGGATGCCTGCCTACACTTCTTCAAGTCTATTAGCTTTGTAGTGTTACTGCATTTTCCAGTTTTGGCATCTTAACACATATTAATACCTCTGCTGGATATGCCATCCATTGCCTCTGTAACACCCTAACCCTCCCTCAGTCTTGCTAACTTCTTATCCTTGTCACCTTTGCCTAAAATCTTGCATAGTGACCCTAATGAGGTACACAGTTTGTATTCAGGCACTCTAATTTGGAGGAAATGTGTTCATACTCTGAGAGCACACAGCACCGCTTTTTCCACAGGTGCATCAAGGTAGTAACTCCTGTCTACATTCTCTTGTGTCTAACTTAAGCACTGTCTTGTCTTGGAATGATCCTGGAATTCAGAGAAAGGGACTTTTACAGCCAGAGGGTAGAATCCTCCCCTGGAAATGACAAAAAGTGAGGCTGAATCCCTTCCCATGAATCACTAAGGATAAAGTGAGAGAACAGGTGCAAAAGGTCATCATTGAATGCTGCCATATGGAGGGAGCCCTTCTGAAAATAAAAGTATCTTAGAGGGAATGAGAGCTGAGAATCAGGAGAAGAAAAGAGAGGCAGGTCAAGGTATGGTAGCAACTCTTGAGCACGTGGATGGAAATATATTTTGAGCTGAAAAATACTCAAACATTTTTCTCAATGTTTTATTGTGCTAGAATTTCTTAATTACTGTGCTTGCATTGGTGCTTTAGATAAGTATAAGGTAGAGCAGGTAAGCTTTCAAAGTTCTAAATTTAATAATATAATTTGTAGAAAATGGGTTCACACTTTGTACGGACATAAATAATTCTTGTTATTCTTCAAATAATTTTCATACAGTGGAAAGGATTACTAGGGAGATAATATCAATGCAAAATAAATTATATTGTTGGGTGATAAGCAGATGGACTCCTTCAGTGCCCTTTGCTGCATAAAATTCACCAAAATATTCCATGTTAACTTGATGGACAGTATCTCATTATTACTTATGCTCTTATCAAAAGAAACATCCTAAATGCTAGAACATTCAATTATGTAATCATTTCATTTCAAAGAGCCAAAATAAGGATTTTTGTTTACAGTCATTCCTTGGTATCTATAGGAAATTCGTTCAAGAACACTATGTGTACCAGTGTTCAAACACATGGTTGAATCACTACAGTCAACCCTCCAGATCTGTGGATTCCACATACAAAGATTCAGTCAACCATGGTTTGAAAACATTTTAGAAATATGTGTCATTATGAACTTGTACAGATTTTCTTCCTTGTAATTATTTCCTAAACAAACCAGTGTAGTAGCTATTTACATAGCATTTACATTGTACGAGTATTGCAAGTAATCTTGAGTTGCTTTAAGTTGTATAAGATGCTGTACATAGGTTATA